TATCCTGTATAATCCACATATCTAAATTTACATTTGCAATTATGAAAGATATACTGTTGGATTCAATTTAAATATTATGTTGTGATTTTATGAATCTCCGGCTGAAATTCAAATCACTCTCAAAAGAAAATGGGCTGTATGGAAAAAAAATTTCTAGAAACAGTTTGACGTTCTGCAGAAATATTTTATGGTTTTAGACTCAGTAATATAAATTAATTAAAACAGTCAATCGTTACTTAGGTTGTATCAACTATCATGTTATTTACAAGATACGAAACAGCGCATAAAGTAGTTTGATTAGTGCCACTCTCTCGTGCCTACCATTTTCTGCTTGGAGCAAACATTGTCAACGATCCAAAAGAATCAGCACTTAACTCATTTGCCCACCGATTCAGAAGAATGATTATTCTGATTTTAAAGGTTGCTAGATGATGCAACATTACATCAAATTTTTAAGTTTATAAAGTTTCAGCGATGTTAAGGGTATTGCTGATTAGCATAGAGAATTACCCGCGTGCATGCATAAATAAATCAATGAAATAAAAAACTTATTTGGCTTTGAATTATCGTCCATTTTGGTTATTTAGTTTTAATCTTTGCAATATTGTCCTTGTTTCTTTAGTTTAATTAGTAGCTGAAAAATTAAGTGACCAGAGTTATAGATTAATTAAAGGGAAGAGGAGATTTTTATTGTTAATGTTAACTCTAAACAATTCAAATAAGAATAATTAACCGCGTAGAGAGCAGAAACTAAAGGAATGGAAACATAAATTTCTCAAACAATGATGATGAAAGAATGTTATGTTTATATATATACCTGACACCATTTAGACTGAGAAGCCCTCGAAATCCTGTTTGAATTCCTTTCATGCCACATGTTAAATCTGCACTGAGATTCTTCCAAATCAAAAAGAGAAAACAGACAGGTTCGCGCAATTGAATTTGAGAAGAGGTGTTCGAAGATTCTACTAGACGAGCGGTGAGTTTTTCTCTTAAATTATAAAAAGAGAAAATGCCTTTTGTTTTTGGCTTCTTCTGACTCTCGTTTTGATCTCTGCTTGGCTTTGCAAGCGTAGCTAAGAAGTGGACAAGACGCGCAGTAACGGGGGTTAGAAAAAGACACATTTAAAAACCCTACACTAGAAAGACAAATTTGGGTAGTCTGGATTAACCATAGTGGTTCCAACCAATAAAAAAGTGCCACATATACAATTTTTTTGAAAAATTAACCTGTATCCAATCAGAGTAGTAGGGACTATGCAACCCCGGACCACAGAATAATTTCTCCTACTCCGGGAGTAGGAGTTCTCTTACATAAAGCTGCGGTCGATGTAAGAAATGTAATTGGTATTTAGAGTGAGACGAGCGTGGATGTGTGTCCAAATCGGAAGAAAATAATGGTTTCTAGGAGGGGCACACCCCCAAAGTTACCCTATTTTAGGTATAAAGTTGTCTAATGCTTCCCCAATATTGTACAGTATAGGTTTCAAGGTTAAGTTGGTGTTGACCAAAAATACAAAAAAGATTTAATTGTTACTCAGGTAACTCATATCTTCTGCCTGCTTATTTAAAAAGTCTTCAACTCATAATATCAACATGGACGCCAATTTTACTAGTTGTTAAACTTGTTCTTCAATAAGACACATTTGGTATTCATTGGTATTGTGGTGTCTAGCAGGTTAAACTTACAAATAATAATTTAAAAAAATATAGTCTCCGCTAAGTCTATAAAGAGACAATATAATGATACGCAAAAGCTTTGTAATAGGTTGCCTAATTCATACATTCTCTCTACTAGATGCTGTTTTACTTCTTTTTTGTTTTTAATCTCCTCTTCTAAATTTAACATAGTATAAGAGAAATACAATCCACCATAATCTGTACCATAATAGTTCCATTGACTAGTTCTTAAAAATATGAAACTGTTTTTTCAATAGCTTTTCTCTCTTACTAAGCAGCCGTCTCAGTTTCTTGTGTTGTTTTTTTTTACATATATTATTGATATTTTCCACCATTGTATTTGTTGTGACAAGAAAGAGAAACTTTCATGGTTTTTATTTTTGAAAATACTCAGATAAGGAGAAAAAAATCACAAAGTTAATGTGATTTGATATCTTTTATTTAAATCCATAATCTTAGAATAAAATAATGTTACTTGTAATTTTGCAAGGATAAAATTTGAAACACTATCTTTGACACAACTGTTCAAAATAATGTATTGCTTGTGGTAAGAAAACTCATTAAATTTCTATATTTATAATAGTTTTATGTTTACTCCTTCTTTACGTTTAATTATGCTCACTTTCTCTCAATAGTATCCTCCTTAAGTAGGTTTAAACATTGGTCTTGAAAAGCTTTGGCCTTACACCATGGTAATTAAAAAACACATATATCAAACATTCAATTTGTTTAGAAAAGCTTTGGCCTTAGTCTTGAAAAAATATTTGCTACAGAAGAGTTCAGATCATAAATCTCATGATTTCATAGTACTATCTCAGTGAGGAAACCAACATGTACACAAAGGGCAAATATTGTTACTTTGTGTAGATAATTTAACATGACATCTACATATACGAGAGCAGATCTAGTAACAATTTCTAAAGCCTTGCAACAGAAAGTATATATATATTGTTTAACAGAATCATTTTTAAATGTGCATGATTTTTAAAACTCCAACATTGTAAACATCTGTTTGACATTCTTCATCTTCCTATTTATTTTTTACATTACATCATATCTTCTTATTTCTTTTTTTACATTACATCACATTATCTATTACATATATTATTACTCTCTTCTCTTCCTTTCTCTCGAGGTTTTCATGTAAAATGTTTCTAGTTTTTATAGCACCAAATTTACAATTGCATAAACATGGCAATAATTTAAGTACTACCAACCCATGTTCTCTACTTGCATTAGTTATTAATCAATTAATATACATAATTTATCAAGGCAAACATCAATCTATCGAAGAGTTCTCAACCCTACCCTTTATTTTTAGTAAAAACAGTTCCTAAGAAAATCATTCACAGTTGTGTTTGTAGTAGCTATCAAAGTAAAGTAAATGCAAACAAAAAAAATTAATAACAGTGATGAGTTATTTTTGCCGTAGATTTGAATTAATACTTGAAGCATATGCATTAAACACCATTATTTATATACACTTATTGCATTAATCATATTTGTAAACTAACAAATTCTCTCGCATTAATTATATATGTGAACTCAAAAAATCATTTAAAAATCGTCTCACAAACAATATGAATGCATGGCGCAGACAAGAGAATAAAATGTTTTGGCAAATGAAACTAATCCATTGTCAAGAAATGGTAAAAAAAAGTGACTGACTTAATAATATCCAAAGATACCCAACTTTAATATATCTTGGAAACAATTTTCACTAAATCAATTAAGAGACTGTATATATGGACAATATGTAAAACTAATTATATAATAAATTTTATTGAATAAGAAAGTTGTTTCATTGTGTAAGTTTTCTCTTCTCTCTAGATCTTTCCGTCAAAATTCAACAATATTTTATTATTTTAATCAAGCGTGTGTTTATAAGTTAATTAGTTTTGGATTAATTTATAACTATTCTTGTGTTTTATATGATTTTTGTTATTAAATAAGTTTTTGTACATTTCTTGTAAAAAGCATATTTTAATTAACAAAACTATAAAATAGATAATAAAATAAAATTTATTTACTAACTTCTTATTCATACGGATAATATGTAAAAATCATATAATGTATTTTCTTGAATAAGAAAGTTGTTTTATTTTGTAACTTTTCTCTCTCCCCCCCCCCCTTTGATTTCAACAGGATTTTATCACAAAATAAGATTTATTTCCGCTTTTAAACTAAATTTCAAACAAATATATACAAATCAAATAATCTAATTCATCCAATTTGTTCCTCATTAGATTGAATTTGATTTAATAATATATTCAAATCAATGAAAGGTTAATATATATATATATATATATATATATATATATATATAATTGAATTGAATTATTCTTTCATCTAAAAAACATGACCATCAAAAAATATTTTATTATAAATTAATACTGATAAAGGAAAAGATAGAAAAAGAAAGAAAAAAACAGTTGTGTCTTATTTTATTTATATAAGAGATATTTATAAAAATTAATAAAAAAATTTAAAATTATAATTACACAATGTTTACTAGAGAGCCGATGTTGAAGAGACAAAACTTAACAAAACCTAAGTCTGAATCCAAACTCCCATAACACACCAATAGATACAAGCCATGCAAAGCAAGGACCTTTCATTTTTGTTTATTACTTCTTGTACACTTTTTTTTTTCATTCATGCAACTATTTTTATATTTTAAAAATTTAATTTTTAAAATATTAATTATTTCCGAAAATTAAATTTCATGTATCTGCGGCACATTTGTATTGCTTAATTTATTGGGTCTGCTTTTCGGCCCTTGCTTTCTTGGTCTTGGGCCTTTCTGGCCTTTGCAACATTGTCCCAAAACAAATATACAAAGCAAGTACGAAGTATGAGGTTGAAACGACAAAATATTAACATGACCAAAAACCAAATTTTTTTTTTTTTTACAAAAAAAATTGTTAACTATACATACACGTAATACCTATTCTAGAACTTATATTTCATGCACATACAATATTTGAATATTCAGTAATTAATAGCATATTTAACAGTATTTTAAATTATTATTTTCTCTCATTATTTTTATCTATTTATTTTACGGATATTTCCTTTAATTGTAAAAATAAAAAGATAAAAATTTCACTTTACCGCTGACACCGTCTAATCAAAACAAGATTTAAATCTTATACCATAAATACTGTTAATATTATTTTTAATTAAAATTAAAATTTTACCTGATAACGTTACGATAAAAATCTATTAAACGTTAGAAAACAGCATCCCCAGGACCTAAGCTAAATGTTTTACGACAAATTATCACTCCAACTTTGTTCTCCGGCAACCTATTCTTACTATTACAGGTTTCGCAGCTGCTCATTCCCCGATATGTCTGAGAGTTTTGGTTTAAATTTTGGCCTTTGAGCTTCATTCCGCACCGCATTGCCAGAAATGGGCGCTTCAGAGTCTACTTTATCAAGCCTACAGGTATATCTTTATCTCTCTCTTTCAAATCAATTCCACTTTTATTTTTCCGAAAAAGAAAAACAGCGTTAATTGTGTCTTTGTTAACTGAACTCTCTCGATTTATTATGGGCGAAGTCGCCAGATGACAAAATCACCACCATAACCGAGCGATCCGAAGCCGCTGACCCTATTTTGGAGCGTCTCAAATCTCTTAAAATTGTGAGATGTTAAGAAAACAAATCCTTAATTGTGAGATTTTTTTTTTCTAGTTTATTATATTTGGTTTGAAGCTGCAAACTTTATTATTCCCTTAATTGTTTCATTGCAGAAACCGCCCATATTGACGTCTCCCCCAACAGAGGGTACTTTAACTGATATTTTAGTGAGGAAGCCTTCGTCCTCGCCGGTTTCAGGTGATTTCTCATGGCTCAATTATTTTGTTATTCCTGAATTTCGCAATAGAATTGAATAGAGGGATTGTTGCTACAGCCAAAGGCCATATGCTACTACTGCCTTTTGATTCTCTGGATTATTTCTAGCATTTTTCTTGTTGCATTTGGGTTCTTATCCTTTACCATGTATTAACTCCCAATTTGACCAATAGCATTAGTTTTATGCATCTAGTGCTGCTCCTTTTGGTGGGAATTATTTTTCTTAAAATGACTGAAGTAACAAAGATATCATTGCCTCGGCTCAAGCCATCTTTGCTTAACAATGGAGGCTGTTAATGTTGCTATTTTTCAAAAAAAAAAAAAAAAAGGCTAAAATTTAGAGTTCCGTCTTCACCCAGTTATTGATTGTCATTTCAACACATACTAGATAGCTTCTGTTGCTACTGATTAGTGCTTAAAATTAGATTAGCTCGTTGGAAGTTTTCATGAATTTTACTGCTTAATACAAGCTATTAATTAGTTAAGGGCATTACATGGGTAATATATGATCTCAGAAAAATTGTTTCAGATTTCAGTTTTTAAACTAAACTGTTTATGAATTGTAACATTGGCAAGGTTTACTGATAGATGCAAAAGTGAGAAAGCTGAAAATACCAACTGCAATGTTTATTTATTAATTGCAAGATAAAATCATCTCCTACAGAAGGAATTTCCCTGGTTACCGCAGCAAAAAGGAAACACAGCCAGAGAAATTAACCTTCTATAAGGAGCAACAAACTCCTGGTTTCCAAAATGACACAAAATATACTCAATGATCTCTCCGCACCCGCTGGCACTTGTAATAGAATTCTGTGTGAGACTGTGAGTATTCCCTAACATCCAGCCAGCTCAATTGTCTCATGAATCATGATGATTTCCTTGGACCCCACATCTCTTCTTCACATAAACCCTCCACATGTGTGGTTGTTTGTTTGTTGTGGGTTTTGTTATGGGCCCACTATTCTTGACCCACAGACTTATCACATTAACAGGGATACTTCTATGGTTGTTATCACAAATATGTGAAGTTTATGTTTGTAAATGCTTGAGATTTTGAGGAATCTTTCTGTTTTATGTTAAACCTTTTACCCTTCATTCCCCTGTCATAGAGCTGAGAGCATAAATATGTCATGCACTCATGCTATGTTGCAATATTAATGATTGCTGAAATGGCATGTCCTCTGCTTGTTAATGTAAGGGATGGATGACCTACATATTTTTCCTATATGATTCTGTTTGTTTTCAAAATTACTTTGATGTGAATAAGTTTCAGATTTTTCAATCATATATAAGTCCTCATAGAAACCCTTTATTGATATATCATCTTAGTTGGGGTAATTCTGTTGTATGCTATCAGTTGCATTTAAGACACAAAATTTTTTGGGGCCAATTACTCAGTTGCTCTCTTTTTTCATGGTTAAAACGGATACAGTGAATCCGAAGGTTTTACTGGAGCTCTTCTCAATGTACCGTGATTGGCAAGAGAAAAATGCCCAAGAGATAAGCAAAAAACAGGTCTGTTTATTACAAGAATTGTTCAGTGAATTCATCTACTATTGCGCATCATCTTAGAGTACATCCACCCTTTCCACTCACAAAAGGAAACTTTTTCTTGCAAATGTATAATTCAATTTGGAATTACATACAGCTCCTCTACCCTATCTCAAACCTACACTTTTACCTTCTCCATTTTCAAGACATAAAACACCTCTCTCTTGTTAATGGAAGGGCCGGCTGTGTTAAATTTATCATGAAAAAACTGAAATACTGTCAATGGTTTCAGTTAAGATTGAGTTATATGATAAACGCATCTTTTCCTTGTTTAATAAAAAATATACAGTTGACTTGTTTAAATGTACTATGTAGTTTATTAATATTTCTTAAATATAACAAACTTATATTTGCTAATTTAGAAGGAACAGTGTTGCAACACCTGTTAGTAACCACTTCTAAAACAATGGTCTAAGTTGACTATTTTAACAAGAAATTAAATTGGAGAAGGGAGGTGTATCGTGTATGTAATCTATTCTTCAATTTATGCTTAAATAGGGTACTCTTTATGCTAATAATGCAGAATACTTGGTCTTAACAGAATCCCAAAGAGGAATTTCATTTTGATGTTCGGAAATAACTTCCCCTTTTTTCAGTCATGTACTTATTCCAAATATTATACTGATGGTGATTATAACAGTTATGACCAAAATTTTAAATCTGTGAATGGTTAGTATCTCGTTAAACATATGGTGAGACAAGAAGAATTGTGTTCAAACAAATGCTCTCAACCTTTGTGGAATCTTAGATATAGCTTTAAAACTGTTCTATTTCCCCTGCCTATGCTGGTGAAAACTGATATTGCGTCATTTCTAACTGTCTTAATAGGTAATTATTGGTAGTGAACTATTGCAAAAAAGATCTGTAATGAAACTATTAACATTGTTTTTTTAGTCAGAGATTTTTACTCCTGAATCTAATTCTCATTATTCTTTTAATTAATTGGTTATAACCTTAGAGAAGAAAAAATGAAAATGCTAAATCCTTCCTTATTTGGTGATAAGTGATAACTACCTACTCAATTTTTTTAATAAAATTGCATTTAATGGCCTGGATAATTAAATCCCAAAAGAATCAAACGAAGAACCTATTTCAGATTGTAAAATTCCTATCTTGTGACGACCCTCCAATAATTGTTATTTGAATTTATGTTGTTTTATTAGATAGTGTCATTTGTTACATTGATCGTTAGACATTGCTGTCTCCTTAGGATAATTGATTTGTTTTCCTTCTTTCTGACTTACAAAACTATTAGATATTTCTGTACATGCCATGAAAATGGATGCAATTTTTGCAGGAGGAGATAGAAAACAGAATAGAAGTTGCAGATGCTTTGGCAATCAAACTTCTTCAGCGATTTAATTATTCAATGTCTACAATGCAGGCTGCCTCACAGCATCTATCAGGAGGTAATCATCATACGTAATTGTAGCAATATTTGGAATATCAGGATTCTCATCTTTATAGGCAGCCACTAACTCTGTAAAACATGCTTTTATAATCTGCTAAATTGAAAGGGGGAATTCCCTCTTTCATTTCTTTATGAGGCTCACTAAATCATACAATCTTAATTCATTTGCATGTCTGTCATAAATCCTAATGCTTATGTGGCATTGGGTGAAGAACTGATTATATTGGGACTGCAGAGTTCCGCTATGCCAATTTTGGTGCTCTTCTATGATTGCTTATGAACATCTGTGAACTTATGTTGGAATGTGTATGCAGTTCATGCGTTGCAGGTGGAAATTGGAGAGCTCAAAGGAAGGTTGACTGAAGTTATCAGTAACTGCAATGCATTGTGCAAGAGGATTGCAGCAGAGGGTCCGGAATCTGTCCAGTCATCTATCAAACCTCTTGCAATTGCTACAGCTGGTCAAGAAACCTGCTCTAGTTCATCTAGTTTGCAGACAGTTTCAAAAACAAATCCTTCTGCAGAAGAATAGTTAGACTGACAGATTTGGTTCTTTAGCTCATATTTTCAGAAGCTTCCTGCATTCTTATCGAATTTGAGGAGAGTTTGAAGAATGGTTGGATAACATTCACGTGATAGACTAAATTTTTTGTGGGCCATGCTTTGAATGGGGGACATGAACTTTTCATTATTTGAGACGAACTCATGGCAGCCTCAGAGCAACCAGGCCATGTTACAATGATTTCTATAAAAGGGGGCTATGATGCCTGTCACCGACACGCACGCATTGGGATTGGTTGCTAATTGGTGGCAAAAAATAAAATAAAATTGAAAAGACATCATAAATAACACTTCCATCAGATGTAAAGTTATCATTTCATCCAATCGTTTTGTCCTTTCGTTTTATTGGGTGGGAAGTTTTTGAGAGGTTTACATTATACATTTCGACATCTCAGGTGCAGAAAATTGTGGCAATTTCAGTGTAAAATGAGCGCATGATCGTGTTATTGTGCGACATGTTGCCAATGTTTTTAAATATGATGTCAAACAAATAAGATATATTTTCTTGTGTACAAAATTGTTCATAAACAAGTCTGTACACAAGTGTGGATGACATCTGCTGTCTATAAATCTGAAGATAGATCCAATAACAATATTACAAAAAAGAAAAAACAAGAAAGGAGTGCATGCAAATTATCAACGTGTTGTGTACGAAACATGATAGATCCGTGAAGCCATGAATTCAAGTAATAACATGTAAAATTATTTTTGCACTTTTGTAATATGCATTTTAATAAAATAAAATGAATTTAAGTACACATTTTAATTCTGTTCATGAAATTATAATTAGCTTTACCAAATTCAAACAACGATCACTAGAAACATGATACATGATTTCTTAAATGTAAGGTAAACTGCGAGGCACGGTCTTCATTTTTATCATAAAACATCGTTCTTTTTTATTTATATTTTCAGATTTTGACAGTTGTCATTCATTTCTCAAACTGAACATGTCTGTTTGTAAAGCTAGTTCCAAATGCATATTTCTGGTGGAATTCACATTCTAATTCGCATCAGGCACCAAAATTCAGTTTTAACTATTCAGTATAAATGCTAAACAATAAAAAGATTTGGAACATTGAATCCAGATGAAAAAATTTCTGGCTCAAGAATGAAATGAAACATATCAAAATCATAAACACGAAAAGCAGAAGAGAGTCAAACTTATTCTCCAGACATGATCTGCAACATCCAGATCAGATTCAACCCAACCAAACCCTGCACGGTTTTATTCAAACGGCTTTGGTTTTTATTTGAACCGTGCTACTGTTTTGTTGTGAAATGAGGGGGGGATCCATACCATAATCCCATACAACATAATCCAATTTTGGATGATGCACATTGCTGCACTATTGAAGCCTACAGAAACAAAGGAAGAAAAGTGGAAAAGCAGCAGCAGGGACAGGGAGGCATAATGGATGTAGACGTATATAGATGTAATTCAATGTAATGAATGAGATCGCTTACAAGAAAGAAAAAATATCTGACAATGCACAACTAGGGAGTGAGTAAAAACTGCAACACCAAAACATAGATGAAATTGCTCATAAATTAAACTCAGACAGCTATGAATGAATCCTTGATTATATGATCAAAACAGTAAAGTAAATGCTAAAACAGAAAATCAAGGTTGTTGCTGAGCATCAATGTAGCCAGCATCAACGAGAACCTTCTCCTTCTTAGCCATCTCAACGTCCTGGTCAACCATCATCTTGACCAGCTGCTCAAACCCCACCTTAGGCTTCCAACCAAGCACCTTCTTAGCCTTGGAAGCATCCCCTTTAAGGTTGTCAACCTCAGCAGGACGGAAGTACCTCTTATCAATCACCACGTGATCCCTCCAATTCAGACCCACATAGCCAAAAGCCACTTCCAAGAACTCTTCCACTGTGTGGGACTCTTCCGTGGCCACAACATAATCATCGGGCTTCTCCTGTTGCAGCATCAGCCACATAGCTTCCACGTAATCCCCAGCAAAACCCCAATCCCTCGAGGCCTGCAAGTTCCCCAAGAAAAGCTTGTTCTGAAGTCCAATCTTGATCCGGCCCACGGCCCGCGTTATCTTCCGCGTCACGAAATTCTCGCCCCTACGCGGGGACTCGTGGTTGAAGAGGATCCCGTTGCAGGCAAAGATCCCGTAGGCCTCACGGTAGTTTACGGTGTACCAGTGCGCAGCGCATTTCGACGCCGCGTAAGGGGAGCGAGGGTGGAAGTGTGAGGTCTCCGATTGAGGCGGCGGGGTGGAGCCGAACATCTCGGAGGAGCCGGCTTGGTAATAGCGGATGTGCGTGCGGTTGGTGGCGGCGATGTGCGAGCGGACGGCCTCCAAGAGGCGGAGGGCGCCGGTGGCAACGACGTCGGCGGTGTAGTCCGGGATCTCGAATGAGACGGCGACGTGAGACTGGGCGGCGAGGTTGTAGACCTCGTCGGGGCGGATTGTGTCGAGCCATCGGCGGAGGGAAGAGGCGTCGGAGAGATCGGCATAGTGGAGCTTCATGCGTGCCTTGTGCGCGTTGTGAGGATCGACGTAGATGTGGTCGATGCGTTGCGTGTTGAAGTTGGAGGAGCGACGGATCAGTCCGTGCACCTCGTACCCCTTGTTCAGAAGAAATTCCGTCAGGTAGGAACCGTCTTGTCCGGTAATTCCGGTTATCAATGCCACCTTGCGCGTAGGAGCCACGTCCCCGTTCGTTGCCGTGGGAGTAGATCCGGATCCGGCGGTGTTATCCTGCGACGCCATTGGAGTCTCAGTGATGATGGATTGTGAAATGTTCGGATGGAAGAATCAAGGCTAAGCCTTTGTTTATTTATTCACCACTTCAACGCGCTTCTACTCCTTCCCTGCTATTCACAATTTCACACTCCTCTCCACGACTTAACTTTTCACACACTTATAAATTAACCAAAGATTACAACTTTTAAATGAAATACTTAATTTTTTTCTATTTTCTCTTTCAATCTCTTAATTTATAAAAACATTTTAAATTAATCTATTTTTATAAAAAATGTTAATTTTGTTAAAAAATTATTATTCATTTTAATTCGTTTTCTTGTTTCACTTTTTCTTTCTTTCTTTACCTTAAAAAAAATTAAGGACTCGTGTACTAATTTAGGACAATTCATGCTTTCTTTAGCCGTCTTCGTAACCTGATCTTAAATTTTAAAATCGTTGCTTATATTTATAAAGTTAGATAATAATATTCCTAGAATAAAAGGAAACGATGTGTAAAAATAAAACTATTTAATCACTCAATAATTTTTACAAAAACAATTAGTGAGATGTTAAATAAAATGATTAAGGGTTATGAGTAAATGTTTTATGCTATACGGTGAAGTGAATCCTGTTGGGTGTCGGTGACGGTGAGTGTGTGAGCTGTGAGTTATCTGTTTTGATTGTCTTTGGGTTTGAGGGGGGGTGGCGGAGTGGATCTGAATCTGATGAATTCAAGACAACAAAGATAAAGAATATATGAAAATCCCACTGGGTGCTCACTGCCATACATTGCCTGTAGCTCTAGCAATTACTTTATAATTTTCTCTCTATGTAATTTTAATCACACGTGACCAAAAGTTTCATAGATAATCAAATTTTAATTAAAAAATATAACATTTAATAAATTTATATATCAGTGATATCACAAAATTTTAATACTTTATTTTAAAAAATTAGCTCGGTCTCATAAATATTTTGTCTTTGAGATTAATTGAAAAATGATGCGTCATTAATAGTATATTTCCGTATGAAACCCTACTTTAAACCCCTAACATTTATGAACATATCTTTCCAAAAGTTGCCCAATCACGAGCAACAATGTTGATGGTATCTATTTCGTCAAGTTCAAATGTGGGAAAAGATGTAAATTGTAACGCGCAAATTTTTTTGGTTTCTTTCTAGAAAGTCACATGGGTTTATTTAATACACATCATATGTCACATTATATTGCCAACTATGATTATTTTGTCTAAGTTGCCTGTATGCATTATTAACTTTCAAAATGAAAGTAAGGATAGCTAAAGGACCACCCAGTAACGTGAAATTATTTTTAAAAAATAGAAATGGGTAAACAAATAAAATAATAATAAATTTTTGGAGAACCACAAAATTAATTAACCTTGATTTATTATATTAAAAATAAAATTATCTGCTTTGGTAATTAGATTGTTCATCTTTGGATATTTATTTTACTTGAGTTAGATGTTGTCTTTTTAATTGACATTGTTGTATTTAGTATTAATTCATTAAGATGGGAAATAAAAAGTTGAGCATAGTATATAAATATTTTTAATTTATGAAAATGTGGACTAGAATTACTATTTACATAAGTATGAATTGGGGATTTTTAAATTAAAGAAAAAACAACTACGGGAATGGATATTATAGTACTTTAACTTGTACTTTACCAAAAAATCTTCATACGTTTTTTGAACTTAGAGTGACGTGTGATACTGTATTTGAAAATTGTTGTCACATTCATTATTTTAACAGATAGTGAATATTGATAGACTAATTGAGCTTTGCATTTAGGTAACAAATGATATCAAGCTTCAATACAAATCTACTTTAACAAAATTAAACATACTCTACTCTATTTTAAATGTTTAATTAAAACAAATTTACAAAAGTAAGATAATTCAAATTATTCTTGAAAAAAGAAAAACCTTGTTTTAACACATTATATGCCTGATATAAATAAACAATGTTTACTTTCATTTCTTATCGTGGCATAATCTTAGCTGTGATAAATTTCACTTATTTCCTTTTTGAGCAGTCATATAAGAAATTATCACCATTTTGAAAACATTATCTGTTTTAATTACTTCTCGAAGTGTTTTCGAACAATACACTTATTTATAAAAAATTAAAAATACATTTTTTAAATTTAAACAAATAAATAGTTTGATTAGTTGTAAGTTTCAACTGTTTTTTTATTTTATTTTACACCTGTCCCTATTTTTTTTTAAAAATTCTCTGATACAATGTTACAACAGCTCATTTAATATTTCGCATTTTAATTTAAAAGGTTTCATTTGCGGCACATATACAAAGTAGTTTTTTTTTTCTCAACAATTTTATAAAGGTCGCAAATGAAAGATTTTCGTAGAAAAAGTGCTATTAATTTTTCCACAAACCAATATAAAGTATTTCCCAAATCTTACATTTTCAGTAAATAATAAGCTAGTATAAAAATAAATAAAATTTAGATTTATTCCTCTCAAATAAGAGATTAATTTTAAAAGAAAAAGTGATAAATTATTGTTGTCAATTAAAAAATATCAATACACGATAAAAATAATCATTATTTTTTCAGTCAATGTAGTTTTTTTTTTATAAGATAAATCACTCACGGAGCTAACTCCAATATTTTCTTACTCTACACTCCTTTTATTTTGGTCGTTCTTATGCTGCACAATCTTACGAAGAAATTTGAAATAAAAGCCGAGCAAGTATAAATTTAGCTGGCCCAAGTAACACAAATAAGCTAAATCGATTATTGGGACGCTAGTGCTCTACTTGTCCTAATAAAATATCACGACATGTGTAAGCCCAATTTGGAGTTGGATGGAGTTCAAACCAAAACCATAACTTGGACAAAAACAATGATTGGGGTGAGTTTTTAACTCTTGGTTTTCGGGTAGAAAAAAAATGCTTTTGATTTTCAGATGTAATTTGTTTTATATTATAATTTTGAGTCTTTATTTATAAAAAATAATTTTAAGCGATTTTTTGGCCAAATGTGACCTTTTTATTAAAAAATCAAATGGTTCTTTTATTTGTAGTTTCTATTTATTTCAAATGATATTCTTTATTTTAAATTTGATTTAATCTTAATTATCAATACACTACATAAAACTAAAATATTTGGATTTTTTAGATAAATTATAACTTAATATGGTTATAATATTAAGTAATTTCATTATATTTTTTTTAATAAATTATAGTAATAAGAATAATTTTGTTTTAATTCAAATAACTATTTATTATATATTTTTCATCAATTTAAAGTATTGGCTCCTTAATTTTTTATTTAATATATAATATATTTATCATTAATTATAAATAAAATGTAATATATAAGGATTTAGACTATACTATATGAGAAATGGCTTTGCTTAACATTGGAAAAATGGGGGTTTGTGTTTATTGGTATTGTTTTTGAGTCCTAAATGACTAACATTCACTCATTCAGCATGATTTAACCCACATTGTAATCTATTCTCTCTTAGCATTGACGCTTCAATAAATGTTGGGTGAGAAGAAAAGCACGTTCGAAGAAAATGGATGAATAAAAGCAGCAAGAAAACACGTTCTTAATGACTTTTCTTTATTTATTTTTTTCGTATAGACCGAACTAACCAAAACGCCGTAACAAGCACTGTTGGCATTCCAATCCACAGGCACAGCCACATCACCGTCTTTTGGCGGTCTCCAAGCAATGCTAATATTCACGCCACGTGTACGCTCTAGATATCTCTTTGCCACGCTGGCAATCCTCATGCCACTCGCTCCGCCAATAGCACACAACAGTATTTCCCACCACAGATTGCTCCCTCGCTATTTATAAGGCAACGGTTACGTTCGAGTCATCATCACAACTCCCCGTTTTCGTTAACTCAAAATATCGCTCGACACTAATCACCGAGTAGTTGATCGGAGATGTCTACCGCCGGAGAAGGTGATACTCCCGCTTTTGAAAAGCCAGTGGAGGAGCTGAAAGCGCCGGAGGAGTCCAAGCCCTTGAAGGAGAAAAAACCTAGGGCTCCAAGAGAGAAGAAACCTAAGCCTGCCAAAACCGCTTCGCATCCTCCATATTTTCAGGTAATTTTGGTACCTCGTGAATTAAGATAGTTTCGAGTTAATTAATTTACCGATTGATTTATTTGTTTATTGTTTGTTTTGCAGATGATTAAGGAGGCTTTGATGGCTCTGAACGAGAAGGGAGGTTCAAGCCCTTACGCGATAGCAAAGTACATGGAAGAGAAGCACAAGTCGGTACTCCCTGCTAATTTCAAGAAGATTCTAGGCTTGCAGCTGAAGAACCAAGCCGCGAGGGGAAAACTCGTGAAGATCAAGGCTTCGTACAAGCTTTCTGAACCCGCGAAGAAGGAGAAGAGGGAGAGCACGACTAGAGTGACGAGGGCGAGCGCAGAGAAGAAAGAGGCGCGTCCGAAACGAAGCCGAGCCGTAACAGCAGCTGCTACGAAAGGCAAGAAAAGCGAAGCGGCTAAGAAGGTGACGAAGGGAAGGAAGAAGGTGAAGAAGACGAAGAAGGTTTCAACGCCTGCGAAGCCCAAACAGCCCAAGTCCATTAAGTCTCCTTCAAAGAGGGCCCGTAAAGCTACTGTTGCTACGGCGTGATGGTGGATATGTTATAATAGTATTTTTCTTTTTAATGGAAAACTCTGTAACATACTTATATATGTGAATATAAATAGTTGTATCGTCTCTCTTCAGGTAGTGTAACGCAGTGTTCGCTGTAATATGACATCTAATGGAGCTGAGTTTTTCTTTTGCTGTATTAAATCATACTTTTGCAGTTACGTGTGTGTTGAGTTTTTTTTTTTGTCCATCCGTGTTAGTTTGTTTACACGCTTGGCTATGGCACGAATTTTCTGGAACGTGATTGGGCCGAAAGTTGTTGGGTAGCATGCTAAAAGCAATGTGATATTTCATTTGAACCCAAAAAAAGAATGTGAAATATCTTGATTCTTGAGTGATTTGATGTGTTTCACATTGATTCCTTTTTTTTTGTGGTTTAGAGTGTTTCTTAATGTACGCGGTGTGATATTTCCATATGCAATCATACTTTTTCTCGCCAGTTGCTTGAAATTATGTTCACTGAACTCTACGGAAAGCAGCAGATTGAAATCAAAATAAGATGTTCAATATCGACCCAGTGACTCTGTGCACCGAATCTTTTGGTTGGCCCGTTTGTTTAATGTTTTTGCACTAATTCATCCAGGTATTCAAGAGGCCCATAAACATTCATTGAAAGCCCTATTACGACACATACATAATGTTACACAGTACAGGCCCAAAACTAAATCTACTTACAGCCCAATTTGGCATTTCATTGAATGTTTCCAATTATTTATCGGTTTCTTTCATGTTTTACCAATCACAACTTACATTCTTAAACCTCAAGCATACATTTATGTATAAGAAATTATTTTTCTAAGATGGAGTGAATAGGCCCCTCTCTATTTCAGTGTGTCTGTGAAACGAGAAATCTCAAATACACTCTTTATTTCTTTCTAATTTTATAACAATTTTCTTCTATGTATTTGAAATTATTTATGGTATAATAATAAATTAATATTTTAATCTTCAAAATTATAAGTGTTAATTAGTTTATGACATGTAAAATTATTACTTTAGTCTTTAATTTTATAAAAATATATTATTTTGAATTGTAATTATTGGTCACACTATTTTTCTTTAGAGTTTCTTTATTGCAAATAGAAAAATTATTTATAATTTCTTTATTATAAATAAAAAAATTATTTATTTACTATTATTATACTGATTTTTTTTGTTAAGACTGGTAGAGAAGGTGTGGATTTCTTGAATTTTAATTCTCCTTGTGTCTTCAAATATAACACTTATGAAATTTTTATTTTTTTTTATAATGATTCTTTTATAGTTCATGACAAATTTTTCTTTATGATGATTTTTTTATAATTCATAACAAATTTAAGGTTAACAAAGAAGAAATTATCGTAATTTTTTAAAAATATGTTATTAGAAATGTTAGATTGTTCTTATTCTTAACAGCTCATTTTAACGGTGATCAAAAGAAAAAAAATATTGTGAAAAAAAGTAAATCATAAGACAATTAAGATCTTAAAAGTTAAAATTATTATTTATTTTTCATTAAAATATATTAAATAATATTTTTTAAAGATTAGGTAGTAAATTGAGAGCTTTTATAAGATAGGATAAGATAAGTTATCATATTAATCAATAAACATTAGAGATAAGATAGCCTGTCATCCTTTCCTTTTCATCAAATAGGTTCATAGTCTAAAATAATGTGGCTAATAATCAATTTAATTTATCATGTATCATGGTTAATTTCGATTAATATTCCAGTGATTTTTTTTTTCAAAAAATTTCTATGAATAGTCGAAAAAAACTATTCATTCAAAACTTCAATGTACAAAATATTTTTGGGCCTTCCAAAGTTCGGGGCCTTAGGCAAATGCCTTGAGGGCCTAAAATCAGTTATATGACTGATCAAATGACGACATTGGACGTGGTGAACAAAAATCAATTAACATTTTGGTTTTTTTTTTGTTACCTTTAATCTTGTTTAAAGTTGGTGCTTACATATCTTTTGATATAGGATACTTTGGATTTGAGGGATTCATTTAATTATTTTTTATTAATTTTTGAGTATGTGGTTTTTTGGTCAATTTTCTTCAAGGAGGAAATAGTGAAATTAATATTGAAAACTAGTGTTGGTCATATAAATCTATAAGTATGAAAAATATGCTAAAGGTCTTCGAATTCAAATTAATCTTCACGTCTTAAATTTTATAAAAAGATTTGATGTGTATTTGGTAAGATAAATAAACTAGCTTCTAACTAATTTGATTTGTTAAACTAAATCAGATTTTATTTAATGAAGGAGCTTATTTTAGTGATTTGTAGTGGTACCCTTTTAATTTTACAATTCCTTGAACACACGTTATCTTTTAATATTTTTATAATATAGAATTGTCAAAATTATAACGTCAACCCATTTATATGATCTCGTTTTATTCAACCAAAATATTTAAAAATAAGAATAAATTAATCAAGACACACACTTGATTGGATCTTTGTGGATCTTAATTGGACCACCTGGTCCATCTAGTTGTTGATTATTAAAGAAATGTAGAAGGTAGTAACGAATATTTTGTATACGTGCCTCTACTTAAGAGTAACTAGCTTATGGTTGTGTAGGGTATATAGATAAGGTGCACACAATACAAATTTGTTTTCTGGCTCGCACCAATAAAGACAAATATAAGGCTCATAATTGTTGAAATAAGCTTATTGAGGGGTGAATTGGACCATTTGGTCCCCCTAATAGGCTGCAGCAGCTACTCTTGAAATCTTATGAATAAAGATGATACTCTTCGGAATCAGAGAAAATTGTTAAGGCTACAAAATATCAAGAACCATTTGCACAAAAATATATAATAAGAAAGAAAACAAACGATCTCATAAATTTTGACCATATTACAACTTTCACATGAGTTATCTAATATCATTGAAGATTTTAACTTGGGCTAGAGACAACACACGCGCCCTCATATAATAAGAGATAATAGAACTTCAACCAGAGCTTAAACCAGAAGAGGGTCTACGAGAAAATTAATAATAAAGAAAATAAACTTTTCAAGCTTAGAAAGGTAAAAAAAAAACCAAAATTTGCATGGGACTGCGAGGTTTGTGCACCGTAAGACAAAGCATGCTCAACAGGAGCAATGGAGCGCAACGCATGCTAGACAACATACGGACCCACTAAAACTCTCCATGCTGACCAATGACCACGATGAATCTACTTCATGCACCATCCTGTTTATACTTTATAGTTTCAAATGTGTGATTGGTGCTACTTTAATTTCATCTTAAGTTCTTGACTTCAATTTTAACTTTTTTTCCCCCACAATCATTCATTTAGTTGCTTTTCTCTCCGTCCTTTAGGCTTGCCCAGTTACCAAACATTAATTGTTCTATGAGAACTTGGGGTGAATGGTCCATTTTCTCTTTTTGATCTTGCCTCTACTTAAGATCATGGTACCTAAAAAAGCTAATTAAACTACTCACTATTACTAACGAGATTCGAATTTATTAACGTGTTGAATAGTTCTTTAAAAAATTTTAACTGGACATACAACATTTCAAACATTTATGTTTTTATTTGTTTTCCGAAATCTTCGTTCATTTATATTTTAGTATGTGGTTGATTGAAGATAAACTTTTTCCTTTTCCGTTGGCAAAGTCTTACCATGACAAAAGTGGGATTGTGAGTGTATTAGAGTCTAAATTTAGTTAGCAATTTTGTTATGGGTGTGTGTTAATTATAAAGGGATTTACATGCTCCCAAATGTCTCTAGGTGACAATTACCTTCCAAGATGCAAGTCTTAAATTCTATTTCTCTTTCTCATTGTTATTGTTTATTACTTGACCAAGAAAAAAATAATAAAAGTGCTTAGATTTTCCTTAGGAGGAATGTGGTTAATCATGAGGATTGTCTGTTGGCCAACAAGGGTGTCGTTTTCAGTGCTTCTCTTAGAAGAAATTAAAAAATGATGATCCGACACTAACTCCTAGTCTAATGACTTGGTGAAGGAGCAAGCCGTTGAGGCTTTTGGCCAAATGTTGTCGATTAACTCGACAACTGCTTAAATTGGTGGGCGTTTCTGGCTTTGTTGATGTGTGATTGCTGTAACATCATATCATAAGGCTTTTTTGTCACCGGTTGTGTAGTGGCATCTGTGATTTATAATAACCCAAACAAATACGGAGATATCCAATAGGAATTTAATTTGCATGATGCTACGGTGGCATTATATCAATTAATCGGCTCTCTAAGGCACAAACATATGGATTCTTGTAAGCTTTAAAATCAGTATTACTAATGAATCTCCTAAGGAGATTGGTTAAAACAATAAATAAATTTTATTGATAGATTTTAAATTGATTTAAATAATAAATATTGATTTTATATTTTGTGTTTTTAATAGAATAAATATTTATATATTTTAAATAAAACATCTTTTTATGAAAGTTATCTTTTAACAATATTTTTCTACATAGATTGGCCGGTAGCCTTTGTATATAAGATAGATAAATAGTTTATTCAAGAATGATATATAAGATTATAAACTTTGGGATGTGCAAATATTAGAGTCCAGCGTAGCTAATGTAACTACAAACTGAAGAACAAGGGATGAAAATAAAGCAGCAAGTTATTTAATTAATTTGAAGTATATCGTTCATGATCAACAGTATGCACTGGTGGACGAAAAGTTTTTGTGTGGATTTTTTGTACTCCGTCCGGAGGGTGTACATTATCATTATTTCAGTTTATATTTGCTTATATTTGAGATAAAGGGAGTATACAAATTATACTAATTAAAAACCAATACACATCGTTATTTCAGTGGAAGATCTTTAACGTTCCAACAAGACTAAACTGATATTTGAGCATTCATTACGCGTACGAACTTCAAAGTTGTTACTGTTACATGTCAAAATTAACGAGGACTCAATCATAATCTTTCGGCGTATGTATAAAGCGTAGCGGGCGAGATTATATAGCCTCCAAGAAACATATTATGTATCGCATGTATTATGTCCTTTCCACGTGTGTTAACCTCAAATTCTTCTCAAACAAAGTTAGTGAAGGTTAATGGCTGGTTTAACATCTCTTGTCCTGACGCGCACTTCTAATTGGAAAAACATAATTTTCAACCAAAAATACACTTAATAATAATCAAGAATAGAAGAGGAAAAAGAATGTAATAAGTAATATAATATAATAAAAAGAGAGATAGAAGAGGTAGTATAAAGGTAGAGATAATATAGAGATATTTAAAAATCAGAACTCTTTTTAACCCTGCTTTTGTATATCATTTAAAATTTTAACCAATAAAATGGAAGCCAAGTTATCCAACCCACGGGTGTATGACAGTAACTAAATAATATCTATTTTATGCGTGCACGTGACGTAATTAAAGAATGATCAAAGCAGACAATTTAGAACATGCTTAAGCAGAAGAGCAGATAGGAAGGTTTCTTTTAAGCAGAAATAAAAGAATACAGGTTTCATTTGAAATAACACCAAGTGTGTGAAGGATCACACTATATGCTGTCATAGCTGCCATCTCTTGCTCTTAGGCAGAGCCTAGTTAGAGGACTCATTTTATAGCAATACTAATACTGTACCTGCGTAATGTGATAACTTAAAATATAAAACTATCTAGATTCTAGAGCCATCTTGACGCATGCATCTCAATTTGCGCACACACACTTGCACTCACGCGTAAGGGAAGAAAGTGTTTAAATCTTCGGATCCACACATGCATATTTTTACAAAAATATAGTATGTCCCAGCATCAATCGAACATTTAATTATATGGTACTACAAATAAAAATCGTTTCCATGCACTTCTTCATTTTTCAAATACGCATATCCCAATATCACAGTCTGAGCTTGTATTAAAAAACGGGCTTAACTTGTTCCCTTCATCCCTACTATTCTGCAGTAGCAGCAATGCCATGTCCGGGTTGTTATTATGGGTTTCAAAGCTTGATAGAGCATTAGTTTCATGCCTGTCTTCCTGACTCAGTTGAGAAGCCACAAACTTGTCAAGAGCTCTCCAATCAGTGACTTTCTTTGTGGTGTTGTTGATTAACATGTTTTGAGTATCATCTTCTTCGTTGTTGTCTGATACAAGGGACATTGTGCTTGGCCTCTTTATCAATGGCAAAGACGGGCTTTCTAGCTGAGGTAGTTGTACAAATTGATCTGGGTGCATGCAGCTCAAGTTATCTGCTTCTATCTCTTGCTTGCACAAGAAATTTTGAGATAAAAAGCTCTGAGGTTGCCTTGAGATGAGATCAATTGGATCGACCACAGTGCTCACTCCACTTGCTTCATCATAGAAGTAGCTTGTATCCCATCCTTCAATAGTCTTCGTTTGCCCATTGGTTCTTTTCTTGAATGCTCTGCACACAACCCATCCTTCTTCCTGTACAAACACAATATAAGTTCAAAGTTGAGATGAAACTTTCTGGACTTGTCATTTTTTCTTTAATCCGTACGGTTGGATTGACCAGACTTGCTAATGGTTAAGGGGAAAAAAAGTAAAGAAGTTATGTGAGTGTTTGTTTTAGATTTAAAAAAAAAAAAAAACCATGTAGTGAGAGGTATTAGTTGTAGTCAAATAATTAATTACGTTTGACAATCAAAGTGACAAGAAAAGTCTGTAGTAGAAAGGGAAGGGAAAGAAACAAGTTTAATTATTCGCTGTTGAAAGCAGTGACTTTTGACTTGTTGTTGGTGAAAGTTATGTTGCAAGAAAGCGTGTACGTGCCTTGGTGAATATGCAGATGTTGGTGGTCTACGAAAAAAGTGAAGTGAGTTTATAAGAGAAGCCAACCAAGTGCATAATGTATTAACTTAAGGATACGTTTAAGAGGAGGATATTAAGGTGAAAAGGAAGATAAAGTAATTTTTATTTTTAATAAATATTTTATAAAATAAAAATTTATCAAAATGATAGATTTATAAAATTATATAATTCTTTTAATTTTTACTAACAAAAAAATGTTTTTCCTTTCTTTTTCAAAATATACTGCTAGTAACACATTGGGGGTCTTTTGACTCCTTTGAAGCACTAGTAGCTAGGGAGTAACTACTGCACAGATAAAAAAAGCATAGCCACAGAGAATTGTATAAAAAGAGTAATTAAGAAAGAGACTCTTGTTTTGAAGTTGAAAACCATTTGAAGTCATTAACAAAGCTATAGAAATAATGCTCCATCTCTGACTTTTATGTATTGTAGCTTTTTGTGCATGTGTGTTTGAAAGAGGAAAAGGTCAAGGAATATGCCATAATTAACGGGCGACCATCGAAGTCCAAGTTTGAACGTAACACATCAAACACAATTAATTAACCACTCAAATCAAGTAAGCAACAATAATCAAAGCGCGTAAAAGAATATATTGGTACATATGCACTAGAGAGTTATATGTTGTAATATGTGCTTACCTGTGGAGGTCCATTCTCATCAGATTCAAGCCTATACTCGTGCATGATCCAGTCTGTTTTCTGTCCATTAGGGGCTCTTCCTTTGTAGAAAACGAGGGTCTTCCTCATCCCAATTAGTTTTGCCTTGTCATACACTGCTTTGTCTCTTCCTGTCGCTTTCCAAAACCCAGCCATGGTAGCTCTGTTAGTTCTTGTCCCAGTTGGATACTTCTTATCTTTGTGGCTGAAGAAATACCACTCATTCTGCTCCTCATACCCGATCCTGCATCTCTCTGCCATATCATTCACATCTTCTAATCAGAAAAAAGAAAAATAATAACAAAGATCCAACTTTCCAATATCAAGCATTGAAACGAAAACCCTAATAAAGGAGTTATGAGAGGAGAACATTAAGAGTAGCATGCAGTAGTGTAAGATATAGATAGTGTTTGTATGTTTGAATGTTTATGTGTATACCTTGGAGATCCCATGGTTCAATACGATATAGATCGATCTCTCTGATAACGTCAAGGTCAATTTTCTGAGAAGCTACTTTCTTCCTCAGATAATAACCAACAAGTTCTTCATCTGTAGGGTGGAACCGAAAACCCGGTGGGACACATGACTCCATCGACTCCATCATAGCAATTACTGGTGCTGCATCAAATTCACCACCACCATTAATACCAACCACACTTGACTTTCTTCATCATGTTTAAATTATAACCAACGAAGATGTGATGTGAGTGTCAATATATATATATATGACCGAGAGAAGAGAACCCGAGAGATAATAGTAATTGTAACAGTAATGCTCCAGTGAACCCAAAAATATATTAAAAAAAAACTAATTGAAAAGGCAAGCAGCAAAAAAAAAAATAATAAAAATATAATATAAGCCCTTTTAGTGAAAAGGTGACAAGTGTTATCAGAGATAATCATCAGCTCATTTGGTGGTGAGCAACACTCACCAAATTCAATTGGAAAGGAAAAAAATATAAGCGCGTGTTATAAACAAACCCCATGATTTCAGAAACAATGATTTTCATCCCCGGGCCGGGTTAAAAGATAAGGAGTTGGAGGAGAGAGGAAAAGGGAGAGAGAGAGAGAGAAGCAAATCATGAGTTTGGTTTTGATAAAAAATCACAAGGAGTTGGAACTTAGCATAGCCCTGCGTTTGGGCAATGGTAAGAAACGGACAGCTAGAGGCTTGTGCTAATGATGCTGTCTTGTGTTAGTGAATGGTGGGAATGATTCATCACAGAACGGGGTTCCCCATTTCGCATTACTATTAATAATTATGTATTTTACAAATAATTAGACACATAAGTTAAGCTCAATAAAAACACAAATGACATGGATAAAACAAACAAAAACAACTTTTCAGGAAACAACATAATTAATTTTTGAACCAGCAGTACAAAACAGAATGCTTATGCTTATATCTGACTTAAGAAAAATACTAAAAAGAGCCCCATCTGAATTAATAAGTTAGAGCTGGCTAGCTAGGTACCTAGGAATTAACTAAAGTGGTTAATTAAATGAATACAAACACAAATTGAGATAGAAAGAATGAGTTATATATATATATATAAGAACGTAACTGTGGCTGAAATTAATGAATAAAGGAGTTGAAGGGGAATGGGAAATGTGAAGGGTATGAATGGGAGTGACGTTATCACAAATTGGGCACGCGTTTCTCGAAAGAGAAAAGGTTGATAGGCAAAAAGAGAGGCACCGTTGTATTGGATCAAGGCCTGAGAGGGATGCTAAAAAGCAAAGGTTGAGAAAAAGGGTGAGAGGATATAGAAAGCACAATACTAGTGTTGAGGCATTAGCTAGTGAGAGAGTCTTGGTTCGTCTCATTCAGGAAACTGGGGCTCTGACTTTGTTGTCCCTTTGTCGAGAATTTCCATGTCACGTCTCTGACCTCTTCCCTTGACGAACTTTGAGGAAATGCTGACCCTAAAACCACTACTTTTATGAGCTACCCTATACACAGCTGCAGCTGCACCTTTCTTTCTTAGAACTTTGGTTTCAATCTCACCAATTTCTACAGCACACTAATAATTGGTCAGCTGAATTGAATTTTTAAGATGCAATTTTTTTTTTCAAGAAACTGGAGTCGAAACTGCAGCTCTACTAGGGATCAAGTTTAAAAGGCGACGAAAAAATGCAATTAAAAAAATGCTATATTTATGGTATGGTTTTCAGCAAGACTCCATGTAGTTGCCTTACTTTGCTTATTAACACTGCCCAGGAATGGTGTAGGAAATTCGTTGAAGGTGGATGAGCAAAGGGTGGTAAAATGTATGAAAATTCTACATAGAGAAAATAACAATAATTCTAACGTGCTCTTGTGAATTTGATAGAAAAAACATGCAAGATTAACAGCAAGTTGGTGATGCAAAAGAACAAGAATATAAAATGTATGGGTAGTATATAGAATGAAGTGTTATAAGCTTACCTGATGAGTAAGTAGTTTAAAGAGAGAGTTGAAGGTAGGAAGAAGAGAAGAATATGATGAGAGAGAGAGATAATAAAATTCCGTTAGGAGTGAGGGATTTGTAAAGAATATAAAAGGAAGGACCGCAGAAATGCGCATGGCTTGATGGTTGTCCCCCCCATAGGTGACGTCACTGCCTAACTTCCTATACCCATTACCTTTTTCTTTTCTTTTTGTTTCTTTCTTTTCCTTCCCTCTCTCCACACTTTCTTCTACAAGTACACTCTCTGCAGGAGTAATTCATCAAACATCTTAAACACTTCTTTTTTATTATTTTACCATTCAAGTTTTCAGTCATGTTAGCGTTTTTTAATGTTAGTGTTCCAGATACTAACAGATAAAAAACGTTATTAAATTTCTTGCAAACTTATTTCTGATTCTTCAACTTATATTTTTAGAACATTGTATCTTAAATTTTTAATCGGTCATGAATCTGAATGTACTTAATTTTCTCAACCATTTTATTAATTTATTAACTTATTTGACCAAAATAAAAATATTTAGTAAATAGGAATTTTTCATTAATTTATGATGTTATTATTATATGAATCTATAGCAATTTTTATCTTTAATATTTTAGTATTTTTTCTATATCTCTCGTTCTCTTTTTATATTATTTCATAAACTTATTTTACATTATATTTTTCTTAAAATATAACTTGCATGTGATAATTAAGTTGGATTGAAATAAGTTTTATAAAATTTAAACTTGATTTTTAACTTATTTAAAAAACGTTAAAAATACTGTAAGTGTGAATTAAATGTAAAAATTATAATTAAAAGCATTGAAATAAATGTAAAATTATACACTTTTAAAAGCAAATTTAAATATACTATAAATTTATCTGTCTTATTTACTTGATATATGCAATTTATTAAACTATTATAATTTATAAGCTAATTTAAAATTTTAATTTGTGAAAAAGGCCTTTTTAATAGGTTAGTAGATTTAAAATTATATGTAAATTGATAAATTTAAACCATAAAATAAAACAATGATAGAATTTTATAAAAAATTTAAATTCAATAAACTAATTTAATAATTTTTTTAATTTTAGGAAGAGGAGTCCTAAATAATATAAAGGAGTCAATATGAATATTCACTGTGAAGTATGAAACATGTAGCTGTACCCTATTGGTAAAGTAATGAGTTAAATAATATTGAGTTTTCATAAAACTTGGTGCAACAAGGTTTCGTTCTATTTATCAAATACTCGTTCGCCTTCACAGCATATATCATACATATATTATGGCCTAAACAAACATATCGTTTGGTACAGTAAAAAATAAAGTGAAGAAAAGAAAAAAAAAATATTTCCTTTCACTTTCTTTTCAACTAAACAAAAAAAAGAAAAGAAAAGAAAACCCATTACTCTCTTTTTTTCCTCTGTATTTCTTTCCTTTTTAACCAAATGAAGCATACAAATAATTACTCCCATTTAAAATTTTACTAGGTTTTATCGACCTTAAAACTGTTGAATATTTTTATAACATGGAGATATTATTATTTGGTGTACATTTAAATCTTTAAATATACTTTTGGTTTTGCACAAATTATGGAAAGCTTGAGATGAATATTTTACACATTCGGCAAATATTTTAAGAAATAATCACTGAAGTCATCCAATTTGAACTGTGAAAAAGCCAAGTCATGAGTATGACCATGCTTGGTGGTGTTAGGTACAAGGAAAAAAAATTCTTAAAATATAAGGTAAAATTTTATTATCACTTGTAAATTAAAAATTTCGTTTTATAAAAATTGATTATAAAATTACATTACTAGAAAATTTTCCTTAGTGACTAAATTATAAATCAAACATTTTCGGTTATTATAATAATTAATTTAACACTAAATATATGATTTTTTAATCAAACTTTTGTTTGTCCAATTAGAGAGCCAAATAACGACTGATTAGCTTAAAAAAAAAATTCAAAGATTGACTTTTTATCACTTTTAATGATTAATTTAGAGAACAAATCTATATTAATAAAATGGAAAGTCATTAGTTGATTTCGAAAACCAAACTAGCAATTGATAATCTTAAAAATTAGAATTATTTTTAGTCTACTAGTAACCAATATAAAAAGCCAAATTTTAGATTAAAAATAATAAAAGAAAAATTTTCTATTAATATATTTAGATGCTAAATTAGTGATCAATTAACTTAAAAAATTATAGATGAATTTTTGGTCATCATTAATGACTGATTTAGACACTAAATTATAGGTTAATAAAAAAATTCATTTAGAGATAAAATTAGCGAAAAAATAGCCTTAAAAAAATTAGAGATCAAATCTTAAATTAATAAAAAAAGTCATTAATTTATTTAAAGACTGAATTAACAATTAAATTATAAAATAAATGCAAACACAAATAATTTTTTGAGAGATCTCATGAATAAATATGTTAATCTGTAAAATTAAGGGAATTATATATTTATTTAACAACACATTATATACATATTTTTACTATAACATACGCACCTAAAGATATTTAAAAAGATATATTAACATTTTATAATTTTAAAATATATTAAAGGTATATTTTAGTAAGCATTAAACACGTGATAATCTTATGATATTGTTTTAATTTAACATTTAGTCTTAAGTTTGAAAAATAATTTTCTAGTCTATAGTAATTTTGTTAATTTAATTATTTAGTTTAAAATTCTTATAAAATAAACTATATTTTGAAAAAATTTCACAATTTAAATAGTTATTAATATTTTATTATTTTACTATATTTTAATTATATTATTTAAATATAAATAAATAATTACTATTTAATGATATATATATATATATATTATATAATTTTATACATACAATATTCGTGATAATATTATAAAAAATTAATATTTATTTTTAATAAAAAGATTGAAATTATTATTTTACTGGATACTTAATATTGTTTAATCCCGAAATATAGACTTGAGAACGTTCTTTTCTTTTTGCTGTATGAGAATGCTTTATCTTATGCGGCTTTATAACTTCACAACCAAGCATAACTTTGTGATTTGTGAGGATATTTAATTTTTCACGTGAGATAGATAGAATTCTTTATGCTTTATCATATGATCTTCATTATCTTCAGCTGGAAAAGCAACTAATTTTGTTCAATAAGCTAAGAGCTGTCAGCCTTGTTAGAATATTATTACTATAATTTAATATTAAACGTTTAAATAATTTTGTTGGCGTAATCTTTGTTTAATAAAAATAATTATCAATATAAAATTTAAAATTTTATACTAATAAGTAATGTGTTATACTAATATTTGATACATTGATAGTGTATTAATTCTTCAACAATTTTTTATTAGTATAGTAATATTATATTATTAGTGTAACTTTTTTAATATTTATACTAAATTTATTTTTTATTAAAAGGTATACTTTGTAGTGTATATTTAATTTGTTAATTAAATGTTCTAAACAGGTTTATTGCTATCAGTATATCACTTTGTTCAATTATGCGCAGTATCTTGCGAAATATTTTCTTTCGTGGCCTTCTTTTTCAGAAGCCAAACAGTGACCATTTTATAAGGTACAAATTTACGGGCACCGAATCATTTCTCGACAAGTATTTTGGGGAAGGAACTATGGAAAAGGAAAGAAAACGTAAGCTGAGCAACAACAGTGTGATTAACCAACGTGTAAGTCTGGTGAATTTGTCTTTCAACTTTACGTAGAAGATAAACAAAGAAAAGACAAAACTAACTCAAAAACATTCCTCCTATGACCAATGCTTTGATTACCCCGGAACCCCACCTTATTTGGCCCTCCAAAGGAATAATAGTTGAATCTAAATTCTTTTTAAGGGTAAGCATCAGTCTTCAAATTACAATAATATTATTCCTTTCATACCAAATATATACCGATTAATTCTATCCCGCATTCATGCTGGTGGATACTTCAATCGATGAAGTATTCACCAATTTAAACAACCTTGTTTTCTTAATTCTTTTACCGGAAAACATTTATTGGTAATATATAAAAAAATAACGAAAAAAAATCAGCTAGCATATATACTATGGCAATGGCAGCACCCCTAAGAATAGCAGTTGAACAAGTGGCTCCTCCTGCTACTTTAACAATTCAAGAAAACTAACACATGAACTTAAAAGGTGGAAGATTTAGGAATCTATATATGACATTTTGGTTTATATCATTAAGGTATAGATATTGGATCAGTAACTATCATTCATAATATATACAAAAATAGAATATGAGTATTAATTGTCGGCAATAGGATCGATGTAAGCATTAGTGGTTCTTTTATGCATACAAGTGTTAATATGTGCCTAGTTCATTCTTTTTTCTGAGATCGCCAACACCGTGTGGACCATTTGGCCCAGTAGTGAAAGAGCTAGATTTTTTATCGCATCCTGCTTGTCTTTCCTCGAGTACAGAGAGATGTGTGTGGGTTGAGGGGTGTTGATAGCTTGGAATGTAATTAATTTTGTAATAATTATAGCCCTTTCTATTGCATATGTAGCAGTTTCCTTCTAGAGTATTAACAGAAAGTGACGAGTTAGAC